TTAATTAAGCATATCTGTGTTGGGGCTGTAGCTCAGTGGCAGAGCTCTTGCCTAGCACATATGTGAAGCACTGTGTTCGATCCTTAGCACCACCTAAAAATAAAGGCTATCATCTACAACTACAAAAATTTTTTTTTTAATTATATCCTCTCATGAATTTGCCTCTTGTCCAGAAAATCCTAAAATATGTACTACTTGGTCTTTTATGATTTTTTTTTAATTCCAGTTCCCATTCTTAATTCTCACAGACTTTAAGAACTAAGATATAGAATTTATCACTACCTACTGTGTCTCACCCAGTAGTCAGTAGGCCTATACTGACTACTGGGTGAGACACATACAGGACTGATCCAAATAGCCTGAAAGTGCTTTTAAAATTTAACTGTTGGGATAACAGTGCCTCAAAGAAGACAGGTTGAAATTTATCAATTCTGGTTGAACACAACAAAATCAACATTCTTCTTAGAATTTAAATAAAACCCAGAGTCTCATAGCATGACATTAAAAATGTCCAGGATACAGTCCAGAGTTACTCAGCATTTGTAGAATATTGAACATCTCAACTTACAAGGAAAAATATAATCAATGAATGCCAAACCAAAGAATTCAGTAATACTAAAATTATCAGATAACTTTAAAGCAACGTGTAACTATGCTTCATGAAGTAAGGGCAAACATTCTTTAGATTTGTATAAATCTATAATTTTTTTGATATAAAGTTTTAGCATAGTAATAGAAGGTATAAAGAAGAATCAAATGCTTATTTTAGAACCAAAAACATAAAATAACTGAAATAAAAATTCACTGGATGGGCTCAATAGCAAAATAAGAATGACAGAAAAAAGTCAGTGAATATGTGGGTAAATCAATAGAGACTATCCACTCTGAACAACACAAAGGAAAATTTAAAAAAAGAAAAGAAACAAAGCCCCAGGGACCTGTGAAAGAATATCAGAAAGAGAAGAAGGAGCATTAAGTAGGGGGAAAAAAGCACTAGAAGAAAATTTCTCACATCTGGTGAAAGAAGATTTAAGAAGCTCAGCAAGTTCAAACAAGATTAACTCAAAGAAATCCACTCCAAACATCATAATTAAATGTCTGAAAATTAGAAAGTAGAAAAAATACTGCAAGTTGCCAGAGAAAATTGACAGCACATAGAAGAACAATGATTTGAATGACTATGTGTTTCTCATCAGAAACCTGGGGAGTAGAATGATGCACAATAATTTTAAAGAGATGAAAGAACTATCAAGCCAGTGAAAATATCTTTGAGGAATAAAGGTGAATTAATTACATTCTCAGATGAAAAAAAAAAAAAACTAAGAGAATCCATCATCCAGCAGACTTGCTGTAAAGAAATACTGAACTGTCCCTGTTCGCAGATGAAATGATTGTCTATTTAGAAAGCCCATGGACTCTATACAAGCCTCTTAAAACTAAGCAAGTGTAGAAGGGTTGCAGGATAAAAGGCCAGCGTACGAAATGTGATCATGTTCCTGTATACCAACAGTGAAAACTGGAAAGTGAAATCAATACCAATAGTAGCATTTACAATATTTCCAAATAATTGAAACAATCCACCTATAGGTAGTTTCATTCATAATAGCAATGAAAAGATTTAGAAAATTCCTAATAATAAGCCTAAAGGAAATTTCTAGAACCTCACTGAAAATATATTTCCTAGATAAAATTATTAAAATGACACATTTATTTCTTCTCTTTTTTGAGATAACAACAAAATGAGAGTAAAATAAGTTCTTGAGTAGCTAATCAAAACTAAAGTATTCTTAAGAAGTACCGATGGATGAAGTTCTTTTAAAAAAAAAATTGTAGATGGACAGCATTTATTTTTGTATGTGTTACCAAGGATTGAACCCAGTGCCTCACTCATGCTATGCAAGTGTTCTGCCACTGAGCCACAGCCACAGCCCTGGATTAAGTTCTTCACTGTAAAAGGAGAAAAGCATGAGTACTGAAAGACTTGCAAATTTGATAGTGTTGAAACAGTGTCTCTTTGATGGCCTCTACTTTCCCTGAAGTGGGAAGCAAGGCCATCTTTTAGGATAAATAGTGAAAAGTGGAAATAAAGAATTAAAAAACAATGTTCAACACTCACTTAAAGTTAGTATATGGAGTACATTTCGAGCATTGACTGAAGGAATAAGAGATATGCTTTATTACATTTCAAAAGACTTTTGAGTTTAATTAAGTACTCTTTAATAGGGAATTGGTTAAAAACACTAAAGTGTATCCAGAAGATGAAATAATCTGAAATCATTAAAAATAATGTAAAATATTGCTATGGAAAAATAGTCCCAACATATTAAGTGGAAACGTAATTTATAGAAATTGTGTAGGAGAAGAAATTATGGATGAAAAATATTTTTCATAATGTTAGAAATACATTATGAATTTCTCAAAGACTATTTGTCCAAAGATCTTAAAAGTTGCCTAGGGAAGAAAATACTAAAACTTAAACCATGAGACTGCTCATTTCTTCAACAAATATGTAACACCTGCCTTGCAACAGATACCTTTACTTCTCACTAGAGATAGCAGCAATAAGCAAAATAATTACCCTAGCCTTATGAAGCCCACTATACTAGTAAGGGAGATAGGCAATTAATATTAAATAAATGTTTGTATAAAGATATATGCACATAACATTCTAAATAATACTGAGTGATATAAAGAAAGTAAAATACCATAAATCAGTAACGTGACTATGAAGTGATAGTTGTTTTGGATAAAGTGACTAATGAAGGCCTTCTTTGAGAAGGTGACATTTAAATAAAAACATTAATGGACAGACAGAATAATCACAATTTAAAAGAACTACCTAAGCAGAAGGTACTACACAAGCCAAGGTTCAGAGGTAACAATCAAGGGCAATAGCAGGTTCTTAATTTGAGTAAGTGGATTGATGGAGACTAGAATTTGCAGAAAAAAATAAGAGTTCTGTTTTGGGTAGCTTGAGATGTCTATTATACATCTAAGTAGAGATATGAGTAGCGGCTGAGTATGAGTCTGGAACTCAGGGGCAAGGTTGATGTTATGCCTAAACATTTGGAAGTTATTGATGTTAATAAAGGCCACAAGAGTAGACAGGATCACTAAGATATGAGAGCTAAGGATTGAGTCCTGGGACATTCCATCAATTAAAAGGCAAGAGAAGAGGAAGGTGTTGGTGATCTACAATAGCAGTCAGAGAAGGTCTACTAAAATCACAAAAGATCAAAAAGGGAGTGGGAGACGGGAACTCTGGAATCATGGTTAGCTTCCAAAGGAGTATAGCCTATGGAATAGACCATGAAATCAGTTACTTATGTCCAGGCTGTTCTTGTACATCATCTCAGACTAGCCCTTTCTTAAGTTGGGAGCAAGAAGCCAAGTCAAATCAACAAAGGCTACTACATCTTGGATTTTATCACATATATCTTCCTAGCTCAGAGGCAAAGAAAACTAGAAAGAGCTCTAGGAGAATAAAATTAATGTCACCAAGCCTGGTCAGAATAGGACTGGTAAAGGAGATGAGATAAGCCTTCCACTTATCGCTGTTCGCAATGAAGCTGTTGAAGTCAGCCTCTGTGCCCAGGAAACTCAGAAGGCTGGCTCTGTGAGGAACAGAGGCAACATAGTTAATGCCCATGGCTAAAATATGCCAGGTGTTTCAAAGAGTGTTATTTTATGGATCTGGATAAGTGATATATCCCTTTTTAATTATTCAAACATCAAACACTTTCAGCAGGGTAAGACCAAACTGATCAACATTATAGCTGCCTATCACATGTCACCTCAATATAAACTAAAGAATACTGCTCACAGAACACAATCTGATAAAGACATTGTTCTTTTCTGATGTTTAGTGCAAAATTCCATAGGAATTTGTTTTTATTTTCCTTTATGTCATATGTAATTCTTGTGTTCAATTTGGTGATTTTCAAGCTTTGCTTTTTAAAATAGGTTTGTTGCTTTTTAATCTTCCAAATTATTTGGTCTCTTCTGATAGTAAAAGTATGGTCAATACACTTAGTAAATGAAATAAATTAAAGGTAGAACTGAAATCTAAGCCCTGCCTACCATAGACTTTCTAATTCTTCTCCCACAGTGTAACCCATGGTTGAATGTCGCTTCTAGAGAAATGGAATTTTTTATGCTAACCGCAGGACCATACAGATAAGCATTTGTACTTTAGGGTAGATGAATTTTGCAGGAAATATAGCCTGATTACAACTAATTATACTATACTGTTTAAACTAAAATATAGTTGGACACAAACATTTTCTTCTTTTACTTTGATTATATTTTTTATTTATCATGGTGAAAAGATTGCAAACACACTAGTCTGGGAAGTCAAGAGGTCTTGTCCTAAAAACCTCTTGGCTCTGCCAATGACTTGCCCCGTGACTCTATTTCATGTCTACCTTTCTGGACCTTAGTTTTCTCATCTGTAAAATAAGAAAATTATTACAAATTATGTGGAAGACCCATTTCTCATGGGGTAGGCATTGCTAGTATTTGCCAGTACCCATTTCCCTTCCCCTTTTGGTAGAGACATGACTGGTTCTGACCAATCAGGAAGCATTATATCACCTCCAGGCGACAGAAAACCTACATATAATTCCTCAGTCTCTCTGCCCTGCCAAGACGATAGAGAAGCCCATATGTTCCAGGGAATAGACCCACTGTCTGCCTGGACTTTCTTTGCAATAAATTGTATCGTTACTGTTATTGTGATTACTTTTCCCACTCCATAGTCTGTCCTCATAAATTAGAAAGGAATGTTAGAGGTCAGCAGAAGAGCTTACAGGCAGCAGGGATCTTGTTTTTGAAGTCCTTCTGGTGTTTTCCATCCCTGAAGTTCCCCCAAGGAAGCCTCTTGCACATGATATGACCTGTGTAAGATGGGCTTGCCCTAGACAGCCCACCTCTCCTGGGCTTCTTGTATTCTAATGTTCTAATAGTCTGATCCTTTGCTGACTGAGTTGTGTGTCTTACAGGTATGAGACATCTCTGTTGGATTTAGTTCAGTCTCTGAGTCCAAATTCTGCTCTCAAACCTCAGCCCCACACCTCCAAAGAACCCGTGGCCTGGAATCGCAGTGCTTTTCGACTCAGTTCTCAAAAGTCAACCTGGAAGAAGATGGGGGCACGCAGGACCCCTGAAGACCTGGAAGAGAATCAAATTCTGGAAGATATATTTTTCATTTGACTCCAAAGCACATGCTACAAAATTTGTGGGTTTCTTCACCTACCAATCTAGGGTGTTAAATTATTTCATTGCAAAGTGTTGTATCTCTCCTTTTACAGAAACCTGTCTCACTGGCATCTTGTTATATATTGAATATAGAAATCTTTCTAACAACCCACAGTGTTTTGGATCAGACCAATCAGTAGAAACACACTAAAGGGAGGTAGGCCAGGGGATGGTATCTTTTCTAAGCCAAACAGAGATTAAAAATGTAGGGTACTTTCTACATGAGAGACACCATTGCATAGCCAACATCATTTCAAGAGTATTCCCTCCTCAAGCTTCTGCTAGAAAAGTTGATTCTCTTTTGTACATGAGGAAAATCTTTCCACTCTAAGGTCCTCAAATATAAAAGCAGCCCTTTGTAACAAGCAATTTCAAAAAGATTTTTTTTTTTTTACCTTCTTCATCCTTTTCTCTCACCACCACCTCTATCTAAGTATGGTCATTGAATTCTGAAGTTGGAGCTGGTACCCCTACCATCACAAGTAACACTGGGGACCAAGTGTCAGTCAGTCTTAGTAGTCATCAGCCTGGTGGCTGCCAGTCCCATTACCAAAAGACTTAGTGGGCTGGAACTTGTATTAAGCCACCCAGCCAATCCTTGGAATTGGAATTTAATCCAAGAAGCATTAAATCATATATTTACCTGGGGAAATCAAGTGGACAGACAAGTCTGAAACACTTTTCCTATTAATGTTCAGGTACCCCTTCAGTTTCTCAGGATGAATATAAGCAAGCTCTAGGAATTTCCTGTTGACCTAAGTGTGAAGTTTGTTCATCCATTACTTGTGCTCTTGTGAACTTGCCATGGTTATATCTAAGGAAGATGGCACTAAAGGAAGAATGGCATCCAGCTGCTACAGGCTGATTAGCTTCCTCTGGCCCTCTCTTGCCCTCCAAGAAGATGAAAGACCCCCGGTTGGACCAGGCCCTGCATGTGCTCAGTCTACGAAATCCATGCCGAGCAGCCTCCTTGTCTAATTATAGCTACTCCCTTGAAAAGTTGAAAATCATTGCAGATTCCAATTTCCTTTTAAAGTTCACCCCTATAAAAGTAACCAAATCAGTCTTGTCCCATTTCAAAAAGCCTTTGGAATACTGAGCTTTCTTTGGTGTGACAGAAATGGGTAGATGGCAAACTGAGAAGCCCTCAGACATTTTCTCAAAGTTAAGTTTCCAGAACTATCATTTCCCTGCCCCATGTGTCAAGACCAGCTCAAGTGTCCCTTTTTCCATTAGATCAGCCTAAATATAGTCACCTGTTTTGAACCCTGATGTCCTTACTATTCTCTGCAGTGAGAGAATCCAGAGGATCAAGGAAAGAATTATTATTTCTGTAAGAGGCTTGCTTACCTTTAGAAGAATCATAAACACAAAAGGCTTTTTTGAGTCACATGCCCGTGAATGGAGTTTAATTGCTTTTTAACCTCCCCTAAATGGGAAACTTGAAGAGAAAAAGATGGATTTTCAGCAGAGCATCAATCAAGACAGTTGTCTTATGCCAAGTCCCCCGCCAGTTGCTTTTCTCTATCCTGTAGACATTTTATTGGTGTTGGTGTAAGGATTATAGGATGTGGATTTGTATAGAATCTAATATCTCCATGACTAATTCATAATATATGTTAACATTTTAATCTGATTTAAATCTACTTTGAAGTATATATGCAGAAACTTGAGGCTTATCTAATTGCAGACTATCCTACTGAGAGAGGGTCTAGAACAACAGAACCTTCCCTCCTCCAGTTTGTTTCCCAATAGTGGCTGGTTGGATATTGCTTTCTCAGCCTCTCACTGTTTCCCCAAAGCAAGACTGGATATTTATTGAGGGTGCTACATGTAGTGCTTCCACATTGTCCACCCCGGTACCCACCACCCCATGAGAGAAAAACCAATCAGTGTCTATAAAATGGAAAAGGACAGAGCATGTCCATTAAAACTCCCTAAGGCCCAAAGTGCTTGAGTTAGAAAGTCAAAGTTAATCAAGGAAAAGGTTTTGCTGATGTCAGCCTTCCAGGAGGCACATTTATGTTGATCCAAACCCAATCCCCATACCACTATGGGGTGGAACTTATCCAGAGCACCCCGAATGTCATGAGGAGAGAAGAACCCTCTCTCCATGTGGAGCCATTCTTTTTACTTGGCTCTCTGCTTCTAGCACCGAGTTCATCCTGGAGATTTGATGGCCAGAGACTGTGGGAAGGAGGGGAACCCTAAGGGAGCAGAGCTGGGTACAGTCTGCTAAGGAAGGTAGAGGCTCTGTCAGACTCCTCTCAGCTCACACTTTATCCTCAACTCAGTGTGTGTTATTTTAATGTGGGCAAATGTTTATAAATATATGGAATTATAAGCTAATAAATTATCTCTGTGGCTGTTTTCTCCATGTGGTTTTAATACTCAATTATCTCCTTCAACATCCCTCATCAGATCAGTGGTCTATAGCTTGAAAGCAAGATCTGAGCCCCAGGTTAACAAAATATTTTCCTCAGTACTTGTTAAAGCAACAGGAGCTTGTGGTCAAGCAGAAGAAAGGAAATTGTGTGCCATGTCATCACATTGACACCAAGCCTCCTATGGGTTCCATGGCTGCTGGATTCAATCTATACACATCTTTAAGTCTCTTCTATGTGCCTATACCCATAGCTGCTCAGCAAGGAAGAATGTCACAGCACTTAGAGACAGGAGACATAGTCCTTCCTAAGTTAGCTTTATATGCTGGAAGAATGGGTGTGAGTGTTTGTGTGCTTGGAATGCCTAGTTCTGAGTTCAGACTCATGGTTGCAGCTGGACAGCCAAAGACCCTGTCATGCCTCCATCCCTCAGAAGCAGACGTGGGAAGAGCAGAATCATCACTCAGCCAGCTCTGAAGCTGAAAATGAAATACATGAAGTTTTCCCCTATTCTCATAAGGTTACCCTTGAGTCTAGTGACAAAATCAGAGATAAGTGATCTTAATGCTCAGATGAGTGACTTGGCAGCCAGAGGACCAACTTCATAGATGAAAGACCAGTTACATGCTTTCGTGGAGTTGCTGTTCAAACAACAGTTCCTCAGCCCCTAGGGTTCCATTGCTCCATTTGGAAGTGCAACCTTTTAACCTCTCAGGCTTCACCTCATAGCTCATTTTCCTTCCCTGTCATCTCCACTACACACACAGACATACGCAGAAGTGGTAGCACCTTGCCTTAATCCATTTGTGCCAAAGCTGGGTAATTTGTAAAGAGCAGACGTTTATTTCTCACAGTTCTAGAGGCTGGGAAGTCTAGGATCAAGGCACTGGGCAGTTCCCTTGTCTGGTGAAATTGCACCCTGCAGAAGGGCAGAAGGCTGTGTCTTCTGAAAAAAGGGGAATGGAGGGGATGGAGAAACTCGAAAGTCTACAGGGTTTCTCTTTGGGATGATGAAAATTGTCCTAACCTTGTGATGATGGTGGCATAACTTAATGCTCTAAAGATGGCTAAAGTATATATTTTAAATCAGTATATTGTATAAAATGTATTATGTCTCATAAAACCAAAAGAAGAAAAGGAGGGAAGAAGGAGGGGAAAAATGAAAAAACTATTCATGGCCTTGATGGCTGGCTGGCTAGGAGTGCTGGAAAGTCAGGGGTAAAATCAAGTTGGGCAGACCAGAGAGGTTATCTCTGGTTGGCATGCCTATTTGGAGAGCAAGATAGTGATGCCATATGAAGACTATTTTTTGAGGACCTTAATCCCACTAAGGATTGCCTAAATGACCTCTCTAAGCCCCCACCTCTCAATACCATCACTTTAGCAACTCCCGAACTTTGGAGAATACAAACTAGGTAGAAAATGCTGCTAGCCTTTTCTGCCTGTCTCCACCATCAATCTATCACGTTCTAGTCACAGAATTCTATGGCTGGATTGGACCTTAGAGCCCAGGTAATCCATTACTTCCATTTTACAGATGAAGATAGTTCAGAAAAAAATTGATTTGTCTGAGGTGCCACATCCTATCAGTGTCAGGTCTGGCTGCCAGGTTGATGTCCTCACTGCAGCATGTCACCTACCTGATCTGGTATTCCAACATGAGCATTTTCAGTGCATTTCACCACCATCTCTCAGGAGGGAGCCCTCACAGACCACGTGAGCCATGGTAACATATTCATTCCTCAGGAGATCTGAAGGTTGGTGATCCTCAAGGATTATATGCCTCTGCCTGTACCTTCTTTCTGTCTTCAGAAGTGGAGGACATGGGAAGTCTATCTAAAGTATATTCCCAGGGAAAAGAGATATATCTCCAAATGTGATTGTCTTCTCTAAACAATGAGGCTGTTATAGTCCTAGTGAAGACCTCTTCTGAAAAAAACTAAGACCAAAATGAGGGTGAGCCCCCCCACCTTGGGTGGAGGAAATGGTAGCTATTTTTGTAGAAGTAAGCCAGTAGGTGGGTACTTGAGTCCAGTAGGAACTATCACTAGCATATATTGCCAGTGTGGCAACCAACCACACTCTGTGACCTGCCAGATCTCAAGGCTGGTCCTCAGGTCCTCATCAGTGCTGTGGTCAGTTAAATGCCCCTCCCACTGGGCTCAGCATCATGTTAGATGCTGTTGATCCCTCTGGGGAAGTGGCTAACAGTATGAGCAATGAAACCAAGTGGTACAAATCTCACTAGCACTAATTATTAACTGAATGATCTTAGGCAAAATAGTCACCACATTGAATGTAAGTTTCTACATCTGAAAAATGGGAATGATGGTGCATACCTCTCACAGTTCGGCTGAGGCAAAACACCAACCTCTCCAAGCCATGTCCTTATCTATGACACAGGGATAATGCCACCCAGGGTTGCTAGGTGAATTAAATGAAATAAAGTGTCTACAGATTTACCTCACACTTGGTAGGCACTCATAGACAAAATACATGAGATAATGTTATGGGAAGGGCCTACGAATGCTGGATAGAAGACAAAGCTTCAAACTTGGGAATTTTTTTAATTGGTGTTTTTAGTTATACATGACAGTAGAATCCATTTTGATAAAATTATACAAGCGTAGGATATATCTTATTAAGACTCCATTAAATTTTTAATAACAATAAAATAAGAGCCATCAGTGAATTTTCCAGTGGCTGGGAGCAGGCTATAAGTACTATGGTTTCAGGATAGCAGATTCTGGGCTGCATTTACTCTGTTTTATGGGCAGAGGAAAAGAAGAAAGAGGGGTTTGACATAGACTTTGAAAGAGTATCTCTAAAACAGAGTGGAAGGTGACTTTATGGGAAAGTGCAGAAGTTGAGTACTCATTGGCAGACAAGATGGATTTGAACAAATGGTGAAGAGGTCATGGCTAACAGGTGAGATGAGATACTAGTAGAGAAGGTATGGAAATAAGCTGAGAGGTTGAGCCCAAATTGTGCAGAATGCTAAGTATCAGGCAATGAAGTATTTTATCCTTCAAGCAATGAAAAGCCATAAAAGATTTTGCAATTATTTGTAAAGGAATATCTATTTAGGGGACTGAACATACAGCACGGTGCTTAGCATGTATGAGGCTCTCGGTTCAATCACTAATAATGCAAACAACAACAATCTAGTTAGCTGTAGTGTCACTCTCAATTAGGATGAAATAAGGAAAATAACATGGAGTGCCTACCAAGTACAAAGTAAAGTCTTTAGATACTTTATTTCATTTACTTCATCCAGCATCCCTAAGGAGTGAATGGTATTATCCTGGTATCATAGACGAGGAGACAGCTTGGAGAGATTGAGGAGATTGAGTGTCATGCTTCAGCCAGAAACTCTCAGAGCTGTGATTGCACCAGGGGACTGCAGCTGTCTCTTCTGCACTCATACCTGTTCTAACACGCAAGTCTCTTCATGCTGGTCTAAGCAGGTGAAACTTTAGGCAAAGACTCCAATTATGAGCTATTGCCACAGGCCAAGTTGCAAGTTTGTCACTCCTACTTTACCCCATCAGTCACCTCTTAGTTTTGTGCTGATTGTCCTAAATAGAAGGGTATATATATTTGATATACTACCACCATCAAACTTTCCAATAGTCCTCCCAAGTCTAGATCTTGTATTAAACCACCCAAAGGAGAGTTATGGGCTATAGACCAAGTACACCTAGAATATGACACACATGCTGGGGACTGAGTTGGAGAGAAAGACCTCAACTGTAGCATTGTCATCAACTTGGCCAGATTGAGAATGTATACTGAAGGAAGTCAAGATTGCCACTGACAAGATAAATAACAGGGCCTGGAGCGGGGGTCCTAGGAGACCAGCAAGTGATAGAGGAAGAGGTCAGAAATTACTCCAGTGGAGTGGATAAGCATGTTCAGCCCCAATAATGGCAATGATAATGGTAAAAGGAAAGATTTTAGATTTTTTATTTTGATAGCCTTCGTACACAGCCAATGGAAATGTAAAATGTGAGTCTGCTTTGGAAAATAGTCTGGCAGTTGCTAAAAATGTGAAACAGTTAAATTATGACCTAGCAATTCCATACCTAGATATATACCCAAGAGAAATGAAAAGAAAGGGAAACTACTCAAATGTCCATCACCAATGAATGGATAAACAAAAATGTGTTTCAGCCATATGCTAGAATATTATTTGGCAATCAGAAGGAATGACATACACATAAAAACATGAAGGAACCTTAAAAATACTAAGCTAAATGAAAGAAGCCAGGAGAAGACCACATATTGTCAGATGTCATTCATATGACATGTCCAGATAGAAAGTCAATTAAAGGTCAGCTAGGGCTAAGGGAATGGAGGGTTTGGAGGGGATGGAGAAACCCTAAAGTCTACAGGGTTTCTCTTTGGGATGATGAAAATTGTCCTAACCTTGTGATGATGGTGGCATAATTTAATGCTCTAAAGATGGCTAAGGTATATATTTTAAATCAGTATATTATATAAAATGTATTATGTCTCATAAAACCAAAAGAAATGAAGGAGGGAAGAAGAAGGGTAAAATGAAAACACTATTCATGGCCTTGATGGCTGACTGGCTAGGAGTGCTGGAAAGTCAGGGGTAAAATCAAGTTGGGCAGACCAGAGAGGTTGTCTCTGGTTGGCATGCCTGTACACGCAACATACATGAATCTGCTTAGTAAGAACTGGCACATAAACCTACATGTGTACTCTGATAATTTGTTTCCCAACATGGGATGCATGTAGGTGTGAAGAAAGGAGCTCCTAGGATGTGCAAAAATTGGGAACTACTGTTAAAGAACAAAGAGAAAAGGCATGGACAGGAAGAATTTGTGGTGAGGGAAAAATTTTGTGGGGTGGTGACTAAGAATGATAGAATTATCCAGAACAAGATCAAAAACCTAGACCCCACACGAGGAAGGCAGGAATACAAACATCAAGCATGTGGCATGGAAGCCAGCAGG